GGATGGGGAGGAGGCTGAAGATGAGGATGGGGATGGGGATGAGGCTGAGGCTGAAGATGAGGATGGGGATGGGGATGGGGCTGAGGCTGAAGATGAGGATGAGTGTGGGGATGAGCATGGGGATGGGGCAAGGCCAAGGCCGAAGATGAGGATGGGGATGAGGCCGAGGCTGAAGATGAGGATGAGGCTGAAGATGGGGATGAGGCTGAAGATGGGGATGGGGGTGAGGATGGGGATGGGGCTGAGGCTGAAGATGAGGATGAGGCTGAAGATGAGGAGAATGAGGATGGGGATGAGGATGAGGATGAGGCCGAGGCTGAAGATGAGGATGAGGATGGGGATGGGGATGAGGATGGGGATGAGGCCGAGGCTGAAGATGAGGATGAGGCCAAGGCTGAAGATGAGGATGAGGCTGAAGATGAGGAGAATGAGGATGGGGATGAGGATGAGGATGGGGCTGAAGATGAGGAGAATGAGGATGGGGATGAGGATGAGGCCGAGGCTGAAGATGAGGAGAATGGGGATGGGGATGAGGATGAGGATGGGGATGAGGATGGGGATGAGTTCGGGAGGGAGGGGGGTGATGATGAAGGCAAGGGCCTCTCCAGCTTCCCCAGGGATCACATCCGCGTGACACACGCACTCCCGCTGCTGTGAATACCCTGTTGTATGGGCACCTAACGGGACGGGAGCTGTCCTGGTTTTGGCTGGGGTAGGGCTAATTTTCCCCCTAGCAGCTGGCACAGTGCTGTGGTTTGGATTTAGGATGAGAGGAATGTGACAGTACCCTGATGGTTCAGTTGTTGCTGCGCAGGGCTTACACTGGTCAAGGACTTTTCAGCTTCCTGTGCCTTGCCAGTGGGAAGCTGGGAGGGGGCCCAGCCAGGACAGCTGACCCCCACTGCCCAAAGGGCTATTCCAGACCATATGACATCATGCTCAGTGTAGACACTGGGGGGCAGCGACCGCTGCTCAGAAACTGGCTGGGCACCAATCAGCGGGTGGTGAGCAATTGCATCATGTGTCACTTATTTTGTATGGTTTATTATTATTATTATTATTTATTTTATTTCTTTTCCCTTCCTTTTCTTTCCTATTAAACTGTCTTTATCTCAATCCATGTATTTTACTTTTTTTATCCCCAATTCTCTCCCCCATCCCACTGCAGGGGCAGGGAGTGAGTGAGCGGCTGGGTGGTGTTCCGCTGCCTGACAGGTTAAGCCACAACAAGGGTGTGGGGCTGTCCTGGCTGTGGGACGCCTCTCAAGGACAACATGGGAGAGTGCCCTGGAAAAGCCCATGTGGGACTGGTTTGCTCCAGAGGACACTGGAGCGTCTCAGCCCTTTGCCTCTTCCGTTTTCATTTCATTTTTCCATCAGGGCTTAGGCTGCTTCACCATCCCTCTGGGTTGCGATGCTTAGCTCACGTTACTTCCAAACTTTGAAATAAATCTGGAGAGCTCGGTCAGAGAGGGTGTTCCCATCGCAGCAGGCTGATGCTCGGGGCCCCTTCAGCATGTGCTACCTGGTTTGGGTGGACAAGCCTCAGCTTGGGTTTGCACAAATCAACTGGATAAAAAGTTTCCCAGTTGGTCTCTGGGTTTAGATGCTTATCTCGCTTTAACGAGGCACCTCAAGATCAAAGTGTAGTTTAGAAATGTTGATCTGTAAATGGTGTAGCAATGCTGGCTTCACACAGAGGAGGTGAGGACTATTGATTTAATGACAGTGGTTACGGGATTGAGAAATGACAAAACGTTGTTCTGCCCCTGCTCTCCCCGGAAAGCACCTGACTTTCTCCTGTAGGACATGACTCAGATGCAGAGTGGAGCTACGAGATCAAAGAGGAGCTTTAGGAAGGCATGTGGTGGCTGACTGCAAAGGCCAATTTCTGCTGTCAAAGTCTGGGAATGGCATGTGCCACTCATCTGTCTTCCACGTCACCCCACGAGGCGGCATTCGCGTGACTCCCACTGTGCATGCCAGCTTACAGCCGGCCACACCGGCATTACAATCTTCCCAACAACACAGTCCTGCTGGATTAAATGATACCACATCATCGGCCAAACACTCTTCCCAGGCCTTCCCACACGTATTCATGTTCCCACCTGGACCCATAAAATTACCAAAGATCCTTGTTTAAAGCCCTTCCTCCAAAGAACGACTGCCGTGATGGAGCGTTGCCATCTGCCACAGGTCCTTGGTTTGTGAAGGGCAAACTCCTCTGCTGTGGCGCTTGCTGCACGGGGTCTTCTTGGACCCCCTCCGTGCCAAGTCTGTGCTGAGAGCACCCTGAGCCCGCCCTGGGGACACCCTGGGGATGTGCTGTAGCCCCACAAGGAGACACCAGCCTGGGTCCGGGAGCGGTGTGAAGGCAGAGCTGTGCCAAGCGGACCAAGTCCTGCCCCTCTGCCCAGCGTGGCTATAGACACACAGACTTTGGAGACAGCTGTGAGAAGAGACCTTCAGGGTCATTCAGTTCAAGCTTCTATTAAACATATAACTACTTCATGTAATTCCCTTCATAAACGAACCAAACGCAATGTTAAAAGCAGTTTACTCCCATCGGAAGGCTGTCCCACAACCTCCTTGCTCTCACGATGAGAAGACAGCTTCAAGTTTCTAGTGTAAAGGTTTCCCTGGCCATCTGCCATCAAAGCAGTGCCATCCTTTGATTCACATAGTTTCTTCTCGCCGTGACTGTGTAGCCAGGCTGACGCTGCTGTGAGTGTGTAAGTTAGAGCCATCATTGTCCAGCTGTGTCCTAGAAGTGTTCTGCAGCGGTGGTAGATGTTTCCAACAGACGCTGTTCATCTGATGGTGGTCCCATCCTTGGGCTGAGGCTGCCTTTCTCCCTGTGGGCAGAACCTGCCTCTCAAGCCATGTTCAGTACAAAACCTGGTGGTCTCAAGCCCGGGGAGGGCCTGAGCAGTTGGTGCTCCTTTTAGTGCACAGAGATTCCTGGTACTTAACAAGAGAGTCATGCAGCATCTTCCACCAGGTTCCTTTGGCCCATGGCATGTGTTAAAAAAGTTCTTTTAACAAAGGATTTTGCTTGCCTGAGCTGAGCCAGCTACCTTGTGTCTACTGGGGCAGTGGGGGGCAGCCAGAGCAAGGCACTCCCCCACTTTTTTCTTCTGACCAGGTCGGTTTTGACAGCTGGGGATGAGGGAGTGTTAAAAAGAAGGAGGAAAGAGCAAAAAATATCCAAATTCAAACAGTAACAGAAAGTCCCGTTACATGAGGTACTTCAAGAACTTGGCTCCGTTACGCATCTGTATATCAGCTCCCTTGTACTATTTACACAACACTCAAGAACTTGGGAAGTGCAAAGAAAATCACTTGCCCTGCTGAGCTCGCAGGCTGATTTTTCTCATACAAAGCATCTACCCAGCGCCCAAGAGGACCAGGAGCCCAGTGATCTCCCCAGGAAGGCTTGCCAAAAAGCAGCAGGGTGAGTGAGGCAGAGAGGAAGAGGCTGGTGTCTTCGCTGGCTGGCTGATGCTGCCCTGCAGACTGGAGAGCCATTGCCAGAGGGATCATGTTTTATGGTGGGGAAGGGAGGAGTTTGCGTACGGATAACAACAGAAGTGGCTCTGCGCAGATTAGACGCTCTTAAGGAAGACTGTAAATCCCAAGTCTAGAAACCCACATAGTACAGGCAGGCGTCTTAATAGAAACGAGGATTAGAAATTAGCCGAGGTCTTTAGTGATATTTTTAGAAGGTTGCTTGTGACAGGTTAGGCTGCTGAGAACCGGAGGAAAGTGCCGAACTCTCTATTACTCAGGAAAGGATCACACAGTGCAGCGTGTGATTAGAGGCTGGCTAGCTTAGCGACAAGGGGGATAGGTGGGTTAGAACTGATTCGGGAGGAATTAGCAAGGGAAATTGCTTGAGAAGCAGAATTTGATTAGGGGCAGCCAACATGGATTTATGAAAGGAAAGCTACGTGTAACTAACTTGCTGGAGTCTGGGGGAGGTATCCTTCCCCGGCAGCCCACGGTGTTTCACACAACCTGATCTGCAAAGGGAAGGCCTGGCCTTTGCCACCAGCGTGGTGATGCTGGGTGGGATGGATGGGGGCCACCTCCCTCCCTTGTCCCTGCAGGGTCTCTCTGCCTCCTCTTTTTCACTCCCTCTGTTTTACTCCTTTTCTAGGTTTTTTTCTGGGAGGAGAGCTACTGCTTTTTCCTTTGTCCTGTGG